GTGTTTGTGTGGGTTGGCTGTTGGCATGTGTGCGTGTGTGTGTTGTAATGTGTGTATTGTGTGTGTGTTGTGCGTTGGTGGTGTGTGCGTGTGGTGCTGTGTGTGTGTGTGTTGTGGGGTTTTTGTTTGTTTACAAAGGTTTCCTCACGACAGTTCCCTCCCGGCCGCAGCACATGGACGGGACTTTGTGTTTTAAGAAGGTGTCCTTATCCAAAGCCATCTTATGGATCCCTCTCGTGTCTAGCTTGGGTAGTATAGACCGGTTGCTCAGCCGATTATGCGAGAGGACGTGGGCAGCAAACGGTGAGGAAAGGAAGAACAAGTTCACAAATAATATGAGGGTGACGACGACGTGGCGACAACGTTTTCTGGAAAGTAGCGTTTGTGGTTGCTGCTGTGACTCCCTCGTCTTTGGCATAGTCGGGGCAGCTAGTGTACAATCGATCAGCATTTATAATATCGAGGAAAAGCGTTGGCCGCTGGCTGCCCCCCGCCGAAGCGGCCGCCCGCTCATTCCGACGCATCGGCATTCATTCCGCCGCCCAGGCCGAGCGGATCGCCGTTGTCTGCATCGGCGAGCGCAGCGGCGAGGTCCTGGCTACTGGGCGCGGCGGCGGCGCCGCGGGCCTCTTCGGGCGAGCTCGAGAGGTCGATCTCGACCTCCGGGATGCTCCCGAACGACCTCGCCCAGCAGATGCGCTCGGGCAAGGGCGGGAGGGGCTCGCGGGCCGCCGACGAACTACTGCCGCCCTCGGCGCCGTCAGGCGGCTGCTCCTCCTTGACCGAGAGAGGCAGGGGCACGGAACCCTTGTCCAGCAGCGCCTTCATGAAGCGGAGTTGCTTGTCCCTAAGCGAGTTGTATTCCTCGGCGTCCCGCATCGCGCCGTTGTGGATGTAGTCGTAGAGAATGTTCCCCGCTGCCTTGGTAATGTAGTGGCCAACCTTCGGGGCCCTCGTCACGTCCGAGTCCAAACCCGCCAAGCGCTCGAACACGTCATTGGGGGTGTTCACGACCGCGGAGGACCGCTTCAAGAGGGCCATGACGTTCGCTTTGGACATGTCCTCGGGGAACGTGCGCTTGAGCATGTCGAAGAAGTACTGGTTTCGCTTCTGCTTGGCCTCAGCTGGCGACAAGATGCACAGACCGCGCCACGCGTCCATGGTGGGGACAGCCGTCTCGTCGTACATGTTCTCCGCGGCGAAGCGCGCCTGACCCCGAACGAACTTGGCCGCCCCCCACCGCTCCCTCGTCATCGCCTGGAACTGGCCGACGTCCAAGAAAGCCTTCAACGTCTTCGGGCGCTGCTCGAACAAGTCGCCGTCATCAAAGACGCACGGGCAGTGCTTCGTGCCCCCTTCGGCCCTGAAGAAATCCAGGTCTGGCCCCTCTCTGAGCGAGGCCAAGCCGCGGCCCCCCAGCTTGCCTGCGTAGTAGTCGCCCATGGCGAATGCCAGCGTCTCCAGGTACGGCGTCTTCCCTTCGCCAGGCTCGCCGACCATGCGGCAGGAGTGGCTCTTGAAAGTAGGCACGATGCGCTTCGCGCGCTCGACGCCCTCGCCCCCTGTGTCGAAGATGAAGATGGGGTGGTACGTGATCTTGTTCGCCTGAATGCCCTGGTCCTTAATGTGCGAGAGAACCTCCTTAATCTTCCCCTCTTTCCAGCTGTGGATGGGGCTTTGCGGGTCGTTCAGCTGGAAGTCGATCCACATCATCTGTTCGCAATCGAAGTTGCCGCGCGGGGCGTTGTCCTTAATGAACTGGTACTGGGATACGATCATGTCCTGGGGAAGGCACTTCTTCTTCTTCTTCTCCTTTGCGCCCTTCTCCTGCGGGGGTAGGTGGTGACGGAAGTGCGTGCCACCGAGCCGATCCATCATGTAGACCAAGACTTTCCACGGCGTCTTGACGTCCGCCCCCTTGCCCCAAGATAGCGTGTACAACACTTCATTCTCACGCAGGAGGCGGTTCTCGACGTCGACCAACGGCTGCGGGCCCGAGAACAGAAAGTACTTGATGATGTCTGTCCCGTCGCCGTCGCCAGCGGGCACCGGTGCCAACTGCATCGTGTAAAGGGCTTCCCAGTTTGTTCTGGGGCGCAATAGCTCTGGCAGACCATTGTAGTCGTTGGCCGCCATGGCCTCCCGCACCGCGGCCATGTCGATGTCCCCCTGGTAGTTCAAGACAACGGCAAAGGCATGCTTCATCTTCTTGCAACCTTCAGACGGCATGAGGGGGAGATCCCCTACAGAGTAGAGAGCTGGGGGATCGTCCTGGAATTCCTCTGGGTGCAACGCCGCCCGGTACATCGGGACGGCCGAGCCGTGGCCGCGGACCTTTTCGAATACCTGCTGGATCTTCTCGCTGTCCGCCCCCTCGACCTCCAAGTGCGCCCTCAGGGACTTCATTCCGAGGGCGGGGAGGTTGGTCATGAGCAGAGATATACCAGTGGCTTGCGCGCGTGCGAATGTATTCGGACACCCTGTGCAAGCCTGATCAATAGCGGCGGCAGGACACAGCGGGGGCGGGGGTAACCGCAGGGGGGCGGGGGCTGAATCAACGACGACGACGCGACGACGGCGACGGCTGCTCCTGATCATACCCTTGCGGGCGGACTTTCCATGCGGGCAGACTACGTAGTTTTTCTCGAACCTCAGAACCAATATGCACGTCCGCACACATATCGTTTGGGCACTCTCGCTGCGCTGGCCCAACATTTCGCCGTGCGGGAAGCAGTGCGGGGCCAGGGTAGGTGGCATTTGAGACGGAGGTATGCAGTGCCTCTGCAGCGGCAGATGGGCTCGCTCACTCGTGCTGCTGCTGGAACAGAGCGGTAAGCATATTGCCCGTCTGCGCCCACAGGTCCTCGCCCTTGTTCCAGTAGCACCACTGGAAGGACCTCGCCTTGTTTGCCAGCGCGCGGGAGTTCACCTTGCGGTTGGGGCCTCAACCCGCCCCAGACGCGGTCAATGATCTGGGTCCCGCACTTCACCCAGATGCGCTTCTTCTTGTTGGAGCATCCATTGTCTGCAATGTCGTGATACCTGACCTTCGTGAAGGCTGGCTTGACCCACACGTACTTGCCGTTCACCTGCGAGGAGCGGCAAAGGGCCGACTGTCCTTGCCTGCTTTGCAGCTGAAAATGCCCACTGACACAAATAACAATCAAAAGAAAGCCACAAACCCCCACATATAATCTAGAAAAGGCCACATCAGGAGGGCCACAACAATAAGTATCGATTATAGATACCACTAAAATGAAGCAGAATGACCTGCGCAGAAAAAGCAGCTCCGCCCGCATTCGTGCGCGAGGTTCGCCACCTTCCCCCCCACCTCCACCCACCCACCCAAAACAAAACCAGCGCCTTCACGCCTTCTTCGTGACGACCCATCGTGACCACGCCGCAAACGCGCACTTTAGAGCGCCCGCCGGGTGGATAATGACTTTGCGTTGCATGACCTCTCTTCCAGCGGCCCATCCGCGCAATCGGCCTCCTGCGCCCCCACTGTTTTCTCTGGCAAGCCTAAGACAGCACTTAGTCTCCGCCTGGAATGTCCCGACCCATGCTCCCACCCCCGTCTTTCTGGTGCGCGAGGATGCGTACTGGTCCTCGCCCTTGGCAACGTCGACCTCGTCCGCCTCGACGTCGGGCCACTCGACATCCTCGCCGAAGCGGATATTCTTCTCTTCCTGCCGCACGTACTTGGCTCTGGCATCGTACAGAGACTTGTATATGGATTCCGCCAACTTGTGGTTCTTTTTCAGCAGGTAGCGAACTGTCGTCTGCGTGCACCCAGATACAGCGCAGAACAAGATCGCAGCCTGGTCACCAAGCCCAGCATGGGACTTCCCAGTGCCGACGCGACAGATAGGGTGGAAGGCATGGGGCAGTACGCGGCGCTTGCAGTCTCTGCCCTTGCACATGTGCGCCCACCCGCCCCCCTTCGCCCCGAAGTCCTCGAGAGGGCCAAGCGTTGACCTCTGGCAGTGCGGACAAGCCACGCCGTGCCATTCGGGCAGGACGCCGTCCTTCTTGAGCAAGTTGATGATAGTCCTCAGGGGGCGGTTCACGATGTCCTTCAGGCAGCGTGCCCACTGTTCGCGGTCTCGCCGCGACTTTGTCGTCAAGGCTCCGTGGCGCGCGTGTGGCACGCTCTCCGGGGCGCGAGTCTTGGGGGCATCTCCCCTCTTCATCTTCATCGCTGCGGTGCTCTTCATGACAGCCTTCTTCCTGCCAGTGCCCTTCAAGAAGGCGCGCAACTTGCCTCTCTTCGCGGGCGGGAAGTACTTCTGGCCCTTGCCCATGGCAGCTGACGGCGGCCGAGCGGCAAGGCCGCGAGGGCAATGCTGCGGGCTCTGGGCCAGCGCCCCGACGACGGAAGTGAACGCTCGAACCAAAACTGCTGCGAATACAACGAAGCCGAATGCGAGGTGGACGGGTGCCAACGGGGAGGCAACGCTTATGCGATGGCTCGGCTGGTCGCCATCCGCATCGAAGACGACTTGGCGGTGAGGCGGTAGTCCGAGGGCGGCCTGGGCGCGGCGTTCCATGAAACTCTAAGTTGTTGACCAATCCACACCCTCGACATGTGTTCGCGCAAGGGCGTCAGGCGATGTCAGCCACGCGGCGCGCGTCCGAACCTGGGATGCAACCGAATAGCGCGCGCGGCAGCGCGCCGCTGATGCACGAGGGGCGCACTCGAAACGAATCGTCGTTTTTGTTTGCAACAGGCAGGGGCGCAAGACAATGTCCGTCTGCGTGTTTCTAATGAACCGAGCTTTTGGCCAAGCAGCGATAGCGTCACCGACGCGACCACCGCGCCCGCCACCACGACCACCACCGCGACCGCCACCACCACCACGATCGCCACCGCCGCCGCGGCCACCACGACAACCACGAGCACGACGCTATCAAAAATAAGTTATTTTATTATCGAAAAGCGACAAAAACAACAAACACGACAATCAATCAACAAAAAAAAACGTCCTCGTCTTGGCGGCTCTCGTACTGGGAAGGCTTGAAGCGCCTGCTCACCACCACGTCGGTGGAGTACGCCGAGACGAAGCTGGACACTGTGACGAATTCGTAGACCTCTTCGTCCGAGCCCCACGAGTTCAGGCACGCCAACGTGCCGTCCAGGCACCAACGCACGCCTGCCATGGCGTGCGTTCCCGTCGAAATTGGCGGTACTCTGGCCACGATGACGATGACGTACAGGCCGCGGCACTTGTCCACGAGCTTGCACGCTTCGTCAAAGTTCCGCGTGACCTCTCTCGCGTGCGATCTGAAGTAGCGGATGGTCTGCTTCTTCCGCACGCAGAACCGCCCCAGTTTCTCGGCCATGCTATCTGGCCAAAGCGCCTTTCACGGGAACAACACAAAAACGCACGCGACAACCAATTGTTTCAGAATAAAAACCACGCTACAAAACAAATCGAAAAAATGTGTTGGAACTTTTTTAACCATTAATTGGTAGTCGCATGCTTTTTGTGTTTCACGAACCTAGAAACCTTTGGCGGGAGGCCGTTCGCCATCCAGGAGTCAAGGATCTCCTTGGACTCCGCGGCGGTGTTGAACTTGATCCTCAAGACGTGGGCGGAAGTTGTGGCCAGGGCGTACTCCGAGCAAAGCCCGAAGCCGCCCTGGTCCAACACGTCCGCGAGGAGCCTTCGCTGCGGTTCTGTCGTTTTCTGCTGCGTCTCTCTAGGCTCCTCCCCTGGCTTCTCCTTCGCCTCCTCCTCCTCCTCCTTCAGCTCTGGCGCGTCCTCCTGCTTTGGCTGCTGGTACTCCTTGTTCTTCTGGATGAAGGCCTGTTGTGTGTGTGTGTGTGTGTGTGTGTGTGTGTGTGTGTGTGTGTGTGTTGTTTTTTGTGTTGTTTAAAAATAATTAAATAATTTTACATAGGAACCTGATATGCGTGCCGCGCAGGCTCCGTGACAATGGACAAGGCGTGCTCGACGTCGTCGTCGCGGCCGGACAGGCCCATGATCTTCTTCACCACGGCGCCTCTCTGAGGGCCTGTAAGGACGCCGGCGTCCGCGCAGGCGCAAATGCAACACTTTTCATGTGGCCGTGCGTTTCCTCTGGTTTTTGTTCGCCCTGTTTGTTGATCGCGCCGAACTTGCAATCCAGATTGATGCACAAGGATGGCATGTTAAAAAACAACAGCAACAACAAAGACAAATACGTTAGCGTATGCTTGGCAACGGCTTGAGCACAATACGTTAACTACATGATGAAAGTGAGCGCGAGGACGCTGATGAAATAGAGTGTTCGTCATCATCAAAATCATCATCATTGCAATTGTCATCGTTGCCATCGCCATCATCTTAATCGCAATCGTCATCAGAACCATCCCCATCATCATCATCATCATCGTCGTCGTCCTCAGCCCCATCATCGTCATCATCATCATCATCATCATCATCGCACTCGTCATCATCAACTCCAGGAGGATCCAAGAGGCCTCCAAGAAGCTCAAGAGGCGCCCAAGAGGCGCCCAAGAGGCCCCCAGAGGCCCCCAGACTGCCCCTAAGAGGCTTCAAGACTGCTGTCAACAGATCCCCGAGATGCCTCCCACCATATCCCAACGAACATCCAAGAGGCCTCAGGTGCCTTCTCGAACAATCGCCATCGAACATGCTGAGCCTGATGAGGGGAGGAGCGTGAGGGAGCCAGGAGGAGGAAGAGAAAGATGGTCGTTGGGGTGCGCTGGGGGGGGGGTGGGGGGGGGGGGGGGGGGCGAGCATGTATATATATATATATATATATATATATATATATATATATAGGAATAAAGAAAACATAAAAATGCATGTTGCAAACAAGATCCATGCAAACAAACGGTGACGGCTTGGTTTTCCGGCCGCGCGCGCACGGAATCGGCCGCCGCACCCTGCGGCCATGTTGTTGGCCGCCTGGCCATCACGAGCGCGGCGTTCATGGAAAACGACTGCAGGAAAAAATCTGAAGCGCCTTTTGGCCAAGCAAAGTGCCACGATTGGCAACCGGGCCCGGGCTGTGCGGAAGGGTTCCGCGCGCTTCTGAACTGGGCAGGCGACCTCCACGAGTGGGCTTCGCTTCAGGACGGCGTCCGCGACGTCTTTGCCTGGTCTGGTCTTTGACATTTTGACGCGCAGCGCGACTGAGCACCTCGGTCGAAAACTCGGTCGAAAACGTCGTTTGCCGTTAACGCAAAGACCTCGCTTCCCCGCAGCAAAACCTCAAAACTGATGCGCAACAAGCACCTTAAATCGAACGCCCCGGCTTCCACTGCCAAGCTCGCGGCGCCCGCGGCGATGTCCGGCGTGAGAGCCAGCGCCCGCCTTGCAGGTGCCACTCGCCACCAAATCTTCAACGACGCCCGTCGCGGGTCCCATCTCCGCCAAGGCTTGGGCAACGAGAAGTACACCCCCGCTGCAATATCGCTTGTCAGCGCGATACTTGCCGATCAGCGGGTACATGTCTGCCGCGATCGCCGTGGCCACCTGCTGCAAACGGCAACTGCTGCTGCGACCCCTATGCGCGAACCTTGGGTGTCGACGAGGCGGGGCCACCGCGTGCAATGCAGTCCTTCGCTGCTCGCGTCAAGCCGCGAGAGGTCCTGGCACGGGCCGCCTCTGCCGGCGACGCCCGCATCCAGTGTCGGAGAACTTGTCAAAGCGCTCCTGCGCCAGGCCCTCGTTCCCCCGCGTCGCGCCGCCCCCCCTGATCGCGCCTTGCCAGCGCAGCTGAACAACGCGCCTGGCCTTCGCGTCGGTCTCGGCGGTGGCGCAGGCGACAATCCTGACGGGCAACTTCGAAAGTGACGCCGCGAGGCCGCCAATGCCTTCGAAGAACCCCCCCCGACTAGGAGGACAGCGCACCTTGAAAACGACTGCTTTCGGGGGCCTGCGGCTAGACGCGGCCCAAGGGCGCCGCAGGTCTACAAGCATGTTGAGCAGCCGGGTGCTCACGCCGAGGTGATCGACGACCTGTCTCACGGATCCGGGCGCCAATGCCGCTTCCCCCCAAGGGCTCGTGGACTCGCAGATGCCGCCCCCGGAACTCCGAGGCGTCTGGGGCCGTGGCCATCCCGCCCACGTGGGCCCGAGGAAAGGTGGCCGCTGCAGGCAGCAACGCGAGGCCCGAGAAGAGCTCCTCGGCCATCTCGGCATTGTACTGGACCGAAGATCGCGCCGCCGACATGGACGATGCAGAGTTGAGGAGGCTGGAAGGCGGGCGTCCGAATCCAAAAACTCGCACCAACTTGCCGAAGCCCATCAGGCACGCGCGCCAGGGCACCCGCTCCTGCGACAACGTCGCGAGGCAAAGGGCGACGGTACTCGACACCTGGGGGCTTGGCGCTGCAAGGCGCCTGCTGACGCCATCCACGCCGGCCCCCATGCGCTCAACCCGCGTCTCCCGCAAGTGAGCCTTCTCTGCCGAGCAGGCCACGCCTGCGCACCTGCAGCTCTCGCAAACGCACTGCTGACAGTACCTCGATGCCCCCGAACTGTCGCGCACCCACCTCGTCCACAATCTCGGGCACGTCGAAATCGTCGATGTAGTTAGACCTGCCACCAGCCGGCCTCGCAACCACTGCCCAGCTCGACGATCGGGCGTGCCTCGTCCTTCTACCACTCCAACTCAGGCGGAAGCCTTGCACCCCTGGGCGGCGGCAGGCGGCCCAGCCTGCGGTGAATGTGCTGGAAGATTGGGGCCGCCAGCATCCACTCCACGGCCATCGCCTCGGGCGCGATGTGCACCTGCCGCTCGGGGCGCCCGAAGGGCGCGCCAGCAAGAGACCTGCCGACTGCCATGTAAGGGCGCCAGGCCTTTGGCATCCCCCAGACGAAAGAAGCCCCCTTCTGGTCGTCGCCCGTCCACAGCAGCCACTCGCCCTCGGGGGTGTGCGGGCGCCCACCCTGTGGACATTTTGGAGAGCATCGATCAAAACGAAAAGGGTTCTCGATGTCGCACCCCCCCCCCTCCCCCCCTCTCTCAGGAGCCTTCAACATCGCATTTTGGAACGATGTTCGTGCTCTTTTGGGGTGTGGGGCCCTCTTGGGACCATCTTGGAGCCCTCTTCTTGGGCCTCTCTTGGGGGCCCTGGAGCGCCTCTTGGAGCCATCTTCGAGGCTATCGATCAAAAGAGGCGGAATCCCAATCGAGGTCCCCCCCTGGGGCCCTCAAAGCTCTCTTTTTGAGCCCTTTTAGGTCGCTCTTGGGGCGCTCTTGAGCGCTCTAGTGGCCGCCATGAGGGCCTCTTGGGCCCCTCTTGGGGCCTTCGCGGGCCGTCTTGGGGCCATATTGACGCCTCAAAAACGTGGCGGAAACGAAACGCGAGAACACAAACCTTACCATTTTTGGGAGGATGGAAATTCCGAGAGCACCTGCAACCGCCTTGTGGTCATTTTGGAGCCTCTTCGAGGCATGTTGCCAGCTATCTTGAGCCATGTCGGGTTATCTTGACGATTTGGGAAGCCATCTCGGCTCGCCGAAGCCCACTTGGGGCCATCTTGAGGCCATCTTGGACGCTCCAACCGATCGCGGCCCCTCTCGTCCAAGTCCAGGGGACGGGGGTACGGGGAAGGGTAAACCCCTCCCCGAAAGGGAATATGGTTTTTCCAAATCATCCCGTGGTGTTGGGTCCTCGTTTTGAAGAGGCGGTGCCCCGCGTCTCTCCTCCTTCCGTCCTTCCTCCTCCCCCTCCTCTTCCCCCTCCTCCCTCCTCCCCCTCCTTGCCTCTGCTCTCGGCGCACCTCTCACGCGTTTCGTAGCCCCGTAGAGAGCTCCACCGAAGGCCCCAGTGGGGGTGTTCGCATGCAGTCCCCCCACGCAGGACAGCGTTTCGTGGCCCCATAGGGAGCCCCACCGAAAGCCCCAGTGGGGGTGTTCGCATGCGGCTCCTCCACCCAGGGCACCGTTTCGTTGGCCCATAGGAAGCTCCACCGAATGCCTCAATCGGGGAGTTCGCATGTGCTCCCCCACGCAGGACAGCGCTTCGCGGCCCCGTAGGGAGCTCCACCAAAGGCCTCAATCGAAGTGTTCGCATGCGTCTCCCCCGCGCAGGACATCGTTTCGTGGCCCCATAGGGAGCTCCACCGAAAACACCAATGGGAATGTTCGCGTGCGTCTCCCCCGCCCAGGACAGATGCGTCGCTTCCGCGCAGGACAGCGTTTCGGGGCCCCATCGGGAGCTCCACCGACGGCCCCAGTGGGGGTGTTCGCATGCGTCTCCCCCGCGCAGGGCAGCGCTTCGTGGCCCCATAGAGAGCTCCACCGAAGGCCTTAATCGGGGTGTTCGCATGCGTCTCTCCCGCGCAGGACAGCCTCAATCGGGGTGTTCGCATGTGTCTCCCCACGCAGGACAACGCTTC